ATAGCTTGGGACTTGAGGTACATCTTGAAATCACTGGAAGTAAAGCAACTTCCCGGGTCCATGACAACGGCCTGAGGAATGCCATTCATAGCAATAATCTTGTGGACCGAGTCAATCACGGCACCAGTGCTCGGGTTGTCGAGGACATCGAATAACACATGGAAGGACACTGGATCAGTCATAGTCAAGCCCCACTTCTTCTGTGGGACGTCAGGATCATCGTCACACTCGAGAAAGGGACCTTGTAGGTCTAGTACATAGCAACTGCCAACACCAAAGTGTAGTCCAGGAGGTCGAACAACTCCTCCTGCTCGACGAGTACAGGCTCTTTCCCTTGTACGTTGACATACGGGACAGGACTGTAGCAGGCGTCGTAGTACTTGTCGCACCTTGGGGGTGGAATACCATTGTTGATAGATAGCAAGTAGCTTGGCAGCTCCAACATGGCCTTCTCCTTCATGTAGTGTAAGTAGACATTCTTGTACTTTCGGGCCTCTCGGTATCACAGGCAACGGGGTCACCGTTCTTGATTTGTCGACTATGGAGGTGATACCGGTGAAGTACAGGACGTTGTTCTCATCGAGGCAATACATTCTCATACCATTTGGCCTCTCATTTAGGGGCACATTTCTCAGAGTAGCCTTAATAGTCGACAACCTCCCATCAGCATCTTGTAAATGCTTGATCTCTTCGTCTTCAAAGAAATGCTCAATGTCGATCACGTTCACTTTGCATATAGGTGGATTTCCATCCACAGCTTGCAGATCGTCTTTCTCATCAGTCAGACGGGGGTCGAAGACAACGTCCAGGGTAGCAATAGAAGCAGTAGCAACAGCATGCTGGACTTCAGTTCTGGTCATTGGGGAGGGGGCGTCATTTCCGTGGGGTCTGCTAGGGCCATCAGCCGGGTTCTTGTCACCGTTGATGTGTCTGACTTCTACTGTTATACCCATGGATCCCAATTCATTGATCTTGGTGATAACGTCCTCCAACCTCTTTGTCTCGAGGCTTGTGATAGTCTTCATCTTACGTAGGGCTTTGACTCGTCGCAAACGGTAGATTACACACTCGCTGTCCACGTGGATGACGATCTTCTTGATATTTGTATCATAGTGTAAGTTGGTAATCATCTTGACATAGTTAGCAACCTTACACACTCCATCACAGAAAGCCATAGTCTCTTTCTTCGGTATGCTCCACTTGTCTTCAGCCGCCGAGTATAAGTGACAGGAACCGTAAAGTCGTTGACAGTCAGCGTCGTACACTTGTTGTGATCCAGCCACTAAGCTCGCATCAGTAGAGGTCCCGTCGTACCGTGGTGTGACACCACTGCCCAGCGCGGTTGCGAATCCCAACCGCGCTGTTCATGCATCTTGCAAGAATAGTGACAGATCTGCAAGAATTTAGTGACGGAATCTGGGAGGCCCCTTCAGTTGAGTTGATAAAAACCAGGTCACACACTAAGGGACAATAGCAGTCGTAGGACACATTTTGAGTAGCAAAAAACCTAAGGTTTGGTGATGGTGAGACCGCTCATAGGCGACGGTCGAGCCGAATGTCCACGTCTGACCCGCATATTGCCCGCATTGGGACCACCGGGCAGGAGTAGTATCGCACAGGCTCAAAAAAGTGGAGCTCTTTGATGGCAGACACCTCCAGGCTAGGTAGTGTCATGCTGCTACACGGTGCCACAGAAAGGCCACATCCCTCAAAATTCCTTCCTACGTGAGAGTCTGGGAACGTGTCTGAATCTCTGGTCGGGCTC